CGTTATCCAATATTGTTTGCTTAATTTTTTTTTTTTTTTAACTTTAAACCAGAAGTTAGACAGACAATCTGTTCTGCTTTCTGCTACTTCATTACTGCAGTGTCTCCTAGACATGTCTGACTTTGTTGCATCTGTTGATAGATCAAGTAAGGTCATTTTGACAAATATGTGTGAATTAGTCTCAAACATATTCTAAATGAATGTCTTTGTCTTTTTATTATATATAGTACAATTTTCATTGCAGGTCAGTTTGTCTTGAAGTTATTTCTAATAATAACAATATTGTGACTTGCTTCTAGTTGTTCATGTCCCGTGTGAATGACTTCTGTCATTCTGCTCGCAAGACCATTGTTTACCAAGTAGCAGGTATAGAGTAACATTGACTTCTAAGACCAATTGCTTTTCTGCTGGAGGAGAAAATTTAGCCTTGGGTAAAACCGTTGTATTCATGTACAGCCTGTAATTAATGTTGTAGTTGGGTAAAACTTCATGTGGTTGAGCTTTGCAGAATCTTACTCAGTTTTCTGATCTAAGGGGTGTTTTTGGTGAACAAGTCTTTGAAGAGGGTAGGAAACATGCAGTAAGAGTACTTTAGAAAGTTTTCAAAGCATTTTCAGATCTGTGTTGTTTGGTTTTTTTTTTTCTCAAGTAAAGCTGGATTTGTATGAGAGTTAAGGTGATCAGCAAGTTGCACCACAAACCTGCAGGAGAAACAACAGGAATGATACAAGCTGTCATAAACCTTTTAAATCTCCTTTAGGGAGAACATGTTCCTGTACTTTCCCTGGTTAAATGACATTTCTCATCAACAAGGGATGTGATGTGGCATGGCTAATGTGCAGAGATGTGCTTGGAAGGTGAAAAGCATTGTGTGGGTTGCAAGTTCCTGTGTTTTACTCATCAGTTAAAAATCTGAAGTCTTCCAAGCTGTGTGTAACTTGGAGCTGGTGGCTGACATAGTTGGAAGATAGTTAAAATTCATAGTTGTGTTTGGAGAATGCAACATAGCAGCAAGTTTCACTGCTCTGTGGGAAAGACGGCTCTTGTTTTTGATTGTAAAATGGAATCTGGAATCTCAATAAGAAGTTTAGGTTGGTGTGGTGTTTTTTTTTTTTTTTCTTTCTTCCATTTCTGCACTATGACTTCAGTGTGGATGCTAACTAAACGTTGTGAGAAATCCCACCATGTCGGTCATGATGGCTAACATCTATTTTGAAGGATATCTGGAAGTACCCAGGTGGCTGACATTTTGGACAGCAGATACCAAAACCAGAAAAATGCTGTATAAACATGAAGGCAAGAAAGGATGTGCTCATTTTGTTGCTGTTCTTTCTAACTGGACTTTTCAGCAGATGCTAGCTCTGATAGGTGTTTCTGGCTTTCCTCAAGGCAAGGTGCCAGCTGGTTCCTGTCATAGCAAATGCGGTTTTCTCTTCTAAAGATGCTAGGAATACTCTGTCCCTCCCCCTTGCCTTCTTTACTACAAGAGCGTTGCTGGCTTAAGTTCCACATGGTGTCCACCAGGACCACCAGGTCCTTTTCTGCCAAGGAGCTTTCCAGCTGGGTGGCTACCAGCATGTACTGGTGCCTGGGGTTGTTCTTTCCTAGGTGCAGGACTTTGCACTTCTCCTTGTTGACTGTCATGAGGTTCCTCTCAATCCATTTCCCCAACCTGTCAAGGTCCCTCTGGATGGTAAAAAGACCTTCTGTGTATCGGCCACTCCGCCCAGTTTGGTGTCATCAGCAAACTTGATGAGGCTATACTCTGCCCCATCATCCAGATCATTAATGAAGATGTTAAAAAGGATCAGACCCAGTATTGACCCCTGGGGTACAGAGCTGTTTACTGGCCTCCAACTCAACTTTGTGCCACTGATCACCACCTTCTGGGCCTGGCTGTTCAGCCTGTTTTCAGTCCACTTGACTGCTCATCAGCTTGTCTATGAGGATGTCAAGCGTCAGAAGCTTTTCTGAAGTCCAGGTAGCCAATATCCACTGCTCTCCCCTCATCTACCAGGCCAGTCACTTCATTGTAGAAAGTTAACTTGTAGAAGTTGGAAGGCATTCAAGCCACAGGAACCTGCAAGTGAAGAAGTAACCTTCAAACTGCCCTACACATTTCACTGTTCCATAATTGAGTAGCATTGCTGCCTCAGTCTGTGTTCCTAAGTGCAGGACACTACGCTGTGGTTTAAACTACTTGTATTAGCTACAAATATAATCTTTCACCTTTCATGGAACACCCGTGGTTAGATTTGTAGAAGTACAGAGCACGTGTGTGTGTGACTGAAATGTACTGGTGACGTCTTTTCTGTCAACTCTAAAAAAGGTAAGTTTGCCCAAGAATTGACCTTGCATCTCCCCAGTTTGGTATTCAGACCCACGTAATCTTTTTATTTCTCAGCTTCCTCATATATGTAGAACTGGGGTAACATTGGGTATCACTAAAATTCATCTTAAAGAGGAATGCAATTTTTATGAAACACTTGAATGCATGGAGAATAACTGAGGAGGTGCTCATGGGGAAATCCCAGACTTGTTGAGTGCAGCGTGTGGAAGGTATGCAATAAGTAAAATCACTGGATGTGTCTTGAACTTGAATGCAAAGCCTTTAAAAATATCAAGAACAATGACCTGTTTCTTCAATGAGACAGGAATTTGCAGTTGTATGTTCACATAAGGTTGCAGGACTGTATCATAATGACTATATAGAACAGAACCTAAGGTTTCCTGACTTCTCAGTGCTTTTCTTCTTTTAGGATATTTATTAGTTTTTCTTCAGTTGGACTTGCCAGCCTAGCTTTTCTGCTTGCAAAAGGAAGTCTTCATAATGTCTTTAAAAATACTGTAAATGTTTTACAACATAAATTGTATGAAGTAGAAACTGGTGTCTGTTTTCTTCCATCTGAGAGTGTGTACCTAAGCCACTAACATATTAAGTGTGCTTTTTGTCCTAACAAAGTATGTATTGCTGCTATGGATAGCACTTTAAGTTACGAAAGCTGTAGTTAGCTTCACTTCTGTAATTCTTTTTATTCTAGACCTATTGCAATATACTGTGAATAGACTGTTAGTAACTACGTGATCTTGCCACTGGGGATAAAATGAAATTCTCTTAAATAAAACTACAATATTTTGATTTTTCTTGGCTTTTATATAGTATCTGTGGGTGGGTATGTAGGTATCTCTACAAATAACAAGTTACTTTTAATCTAGGATTGTTTAGTGTGTAAATCAAGATGCTGGTAAAGCTGAAAATCATGCTGAATTTTTAGTGACTGGAGGAATGGGACTCATCTCAGTATGGCCAAACTAAACCCACCTCTACTCCTCATTCATGTGAAACCTGGCTGATTGGGGGGGGGGGTGTTGGGGGGGGGGGGGGTGTTTTTCTTAAAATTTCTCAGGAAAATTTTTTAATTCCAAACTTTTTAAAAAGGGTTCTACATTATATCATACTCCTGATAGCTGCGGTCCACTACATACTACTTAATTGTGTTAAATTGTTTTTCTTGCTGAAAAAATTCGGTATAATTATGAGCCAATTATTGTGTAATTTTGTTGGTTTTTTATTATAATAACTTTTGTACCATTTCGCCACCCAAAATAATATTGTTTCTGGATTACTAATATTCATGAAAACAGAAAATAAACTATTGCTAAAACAGGCACCCTAAACGTGTTTTGTTTTTTTTTTTAAAGTAACAAGTGTGGTTTAATGTAACTACTAATATATAAGGTGATCTGTAATTTGAAAGTTGGATGTTTTAAAATATTGAAGTATTTATATCTAGCACAATTCTTATTAAAGGTTAAACTGGAAGTGTTCTGTGTGGCAAAAATAGGTATCACTTTCAGATTGAAGAATAATTTCTAAGACTTTAGAATTTATTGTGTTAATGCTTTTTTGAAGAAATATTTGTTTGGAAGAGAAAGGAGAAGCATGTTCCAAGCTTTTCCTGTAGTGTCCCTCACTATTTCACCTAAATCCAGTCTTAGTCATGATTTTCCATTTGGTGTATGAATATTTTCATTCTAACTGGATTTTGAATGTATAATATGGTCTGCTGTAGGGGTTGCACATTAGTCTTGTGAACATTAAGCAAGTGCTTGATTTCATTACCATGAATGTTTCCCAAGTTATGTGGAAAAGTTCAAGACTGTAAAGTTCATATGTAAAGTCTTAAAGGATTAGTGAAGTTCCTGCAGGCATTCGCCATCCTTTTTGACTGCAAAGAATATCTGGCAGATTTTGTGAGGTGTATTGGTAAATCAGTTCTCATTAGTATACTGTTGTACATCTTAAAGAGGGGCGTAAAGAAAAATCCCAACCCTGACCTGAAAAAATGATACGTGAAATTAAATGTATGATACTTATAGAAGGTGGTTCTTATCTGTGTTTTTCTTATATTTGCTGAGGATCAGCTTTCACAGGAGGCATGAAGACGTTCTGTTCCTTTTTCACTCAGATATGTTTTAATGTGTCTATTTGAAAATTAATTGCCTTTTCCAGTTCCTTTGAAAACAACAGCAGTGGCATTTGTGGTGGTGCATTTTGAATATATAGAAATACATTCAATGGAAATGATGTTTGATGTGTAATTTGCCAAATTTCTATGCTCATATAGACAAAAATTAACTTTGAACGAAAAAAAAAGCTGAACAGATTCATTTTCTCTTTAGGACTTCCAGTTTTTTTACAGTGGCACTTGAAATAAAAAAATCCTATGCTTTGTTTATGTGAATAAATATTTTGGCTAATGACAATAGCATTTGTAAGTTAGTGCTGCACGCTTTTAAAAAAAAAAAGTCTATGTGCTTGCATAGAATAAATATTACCAAAAAACCCAGTCAGAATGAAGGTGTAATTATACACTCCAGTTATGTAATATTCACTAGAAACAACTGGAGACTAAACTCTACTTAAAAGGTAGTTTATTCAATGGAGAAATGTTTATGGTTTTTAATTGAAAAGCTTTTTTTTTCTATTTTCCTTCCAGGTATTGCTTTGTTTTTGCTTTGGGATACCTCACTGTGTGCCAAATTACTAGAGTCTATATCTTTGACTATGGACAGTATTCTGCTGATTTTTCTGGGTAAGGAGAAAAATAATCTTTCCATCTTTTCCTCCTAAGTGATACCGTATCTGTTATTAGGGTTTTTTCCAAGTTAAGTGTGTCGACCTTTTAAACTTTGGGAGAAAGCTGGGCATATGTGTGTGTATTGGCACACATACAAATATGCATGTACCTATGCTCGTGCAAACTGAGAATTTTGGGAACAGTTGTGTTTGTTAGAACCACGAATGCATTATCTGCTGCCTCCTGTTCCTGTCTGAAGGGCATAAAGGATTTGGTGCCTGTGGGATTTTTTTGCTTTTGCTCTTTCCCCTAAAATCTCTGCTACCACCCATGATGAAACTTGAATCGCAGCTGACGTACTTGCATGCCTAGCAGAGTCTGACACCACTTTGTGAAGAAAATCCAAATGTTTTATGGAAGTTCGCTTTTAGCTTCTTTATTTTTTGGTTTTATATTATATGTTCCAGAAGGAGAAAGCCAAGGAGAGAGGCACCTGTATAGTGAAGTAGTCACACAGCCCTTGGAAACAGAAAGTTTTGTCTATACGTATTCTCATTTTATATGATGAACTTAGACCTATACAGCTCAAGTCAAATATAGGAGCAAAACAGAATTAAATAGGCAAAGTAAAAATAAACCGTATTGGTGATTCTTCTTCGTACTTGCAGACACATAGCAGTGAAGCACAACATTTCCTATAACTTACGTTTGCTACTGTGATGGTGCTTTTGCTGATTTAAAGGGGAGTATATATTTTGGAAAAAAAAGAGATGGGGAGTGTTTGCTAGTCTGCTTAAAAATGAATTAAATACTTTTCAGGAATACTATGAATGGCAGTGGTCTCTGTAGTTTAGTATTACCTGTGTTGTGTAGTAGAGTTGTGCTTGTTAGCCTTGTTGCTTCTCAGTCTTCGTTGGTAACAGGTGTGTAGCCCAGAAACTTAACTTGTAGGCTGGAGCAAAAAGCTTTTCTGGTTAAATTCATCTTTTCTGTCATTTTTAGCCAGGTCTTACCTTCTGAAACATCTTTCTACATTTATACCTACATCAAAATGTCTGCCTTCAAGCCAGATACCCAAGTTCCAGTTGTAGTCAGTGGAGATCTGATTGATGTAGGCAGTAGAGCTTGGAGGGCATTGCAGCTGACCCACTGCTAAGTATCTGCCTTAGCGTGAGCTGCGTCACTTGCCCGTTGCCCCTGACTCTGTTGAGTAGAACTCTGCTGGCTATGAGAGCTTGCAACATAGACATATGCATAAAGGCACTTTAAAACTACTGATTACTGATGTTGAATTAAATTTCACCATTACAAGTGGAACTAGAATCCAAATGCTGTCCCTTCCAGTTCACTGTAGGGCCAAAGTGTACAACCTTGGCAGCGATCAAAGCTCTGACTCTGGAAACAGTATAATTGCACTTGTTTGCTGCTCTCAAACTATTAATAGAGCTTGAACACACCATTGCTCAGATGTGACTGTACTGTTTTCAGATAGCAGCTGTCTTTGTGGCTCTGTTCGTTTGGTGTTAGCTCAGAGATTTCTGCTAGGTCTAAACATCTCTAAAGGTTTACGAGACCTGTGCTCTCGATAGAACTGTTCTGAAGCCTAGATTCAGCTCTCTGATTGTATGTTTGAGCTGCCTGATTTAAGCCATCCTTTCATGCGCCAGTTTGGGAGCTTGATGCATGGATATCACATTAAATCTTTGGCATATACTGCATCTGCTCCCTTGAGGCCTGAGGCAGAGGTTACTTCCAAAACAGGAGGAGCAAGAAAATGAACCGAAGGTAGCTATTTTGTGCCAATTTTCTCTAGTTCTAGGGGAAGAGAGTAAGCTCAAGAAAATAACAAAAGTTACCTAACCAGCTGTTGAACCTCAGCAGCAGCAAGTTCTTCCAAAGATGTTGGCATGGATTCATATAGTGGTTAGCCCCAAAATGTCTGTTTACCTAGATATTTCTCCTAGCATGCCATGCCCATCTGAGGTGTCCAAGCCCAGAGAACCTGCAAAAAGTTTGAAGGAGGTATCAATGCACTGACAGTGGATAAAGCTGAGGAGACCTCATGCTGGAGGTGCAACTGCTTGTGCAGAGCTGTGCGGTCCTGGCTTCAGTGCTAACAGATCCCAGCTGCCAGTGAGCCTTCCACCTCCTCCTTTGCCTTTCTGCCAGCACCTAAAAGGGATCGTTAAAATCTTGGTTCACAGCCTCGCTGTTCCAGGAAGGACTCTTCCTCATTTAGTCTCTAGATTGTTGCTCCTCAGCCAAATCTCTGAAGATATTGGGGTAGCCACTTGAGAAGGAAAAAAGTACCGGGGCCTGCTATGATAACAATGGCAGATGTATCAGCTAGAATTAATGTAGGGTCTGACCGAGCTCCTCTTGGGCTCCATCCTTCCACCAGGCAGAATCCATGCTGTCACATGTCCACTTACAGAAGAAAAACCCATTATGTTCAGAATCAGGTGGGGATTTCTGGCAGCACCAGGCAGGTCTACAGTTTAAACTCTAGAGAGAGAGATGAGGGACTCCCCAGACTGTCTGTTCTTGTTTAGCTTTCTTCCTTGCTGACCCTTGCATGTCACTCTAGTCTTGATGTCAGGATTTTGGGGCACTGATAATACGGTAGAGAAAACTTTTTCCCTGATTATATTTTGAGGGCTGGAAATATTGTGTGCTTTGAAAGAACCATAACCTAAAAAAAATTAATTTGACAGACTGAGCCATCTGGCAAAATACTGGCACAGCCCTGTCAATGAAGGAGGATTTGATGGCTCTTGGATTTGTTTTTCTGTGCCAACTTAAATATGTTATAAAAAGGCCAAATGCAATCAAAAGACTTGAACAAAACTATGTGCCCATCCTACAGTATGATTATTTTGTTGTGGTGGGTTTTTGTTTGTTTGTTTTTTTGTCTCCAGCTCAGATACTACTGGGTAAATATAGTCCCTGATATATTTTTGAGATCTGATTTCAAAGTTAAATTTCTGAATTCTGGTAGCCTACTTCACACTCTTCCCCGTCCCCTCCCTCCCCCCAGTTAGGGGGTTAGCAAAGCTGGGATTTAACTCAGTCAAAAACTCTTTAGATGCTATAAAGATGGTATAATTTCTCAGTATAAAGCTGACTCGCTTAGCCAGGGAAGAATATCTCTTGGACAGTTTAAGATCTGCTCAAGTGTACCAAATTCAAAACAAACTAAACTCTGTTGGAGCCAGCATAATTATGCTGGGTTTTTGTTTTGCCAGATATGTTTACTTGAAGCAAATAATAATTCTAGATGGAAAAATGAAGCATAGCACCAGGCGTTAGTGGAAACAGTGGAAGTGGTCTGCATATCTAAATAATTTATAGCACTGGCCAACTTCGGTATATTTTTATTGTCCTTTGCTTACTGCTGCTGTAACTTACAATGCATATAATTGCTCTTATTGCCCTTTTTTCTTTACTCTTCCCACTGTAAAAAATTAAACTATGTCAGCAGAAAATAAATGTGAAACACTTTGGCTGTTTGTGGAACCTAATGCAGCAATAAAAGGCATGGGTTATCAAATACCATATCTGAGGATTAAATTCTTTTCATTGCACTGAAAACTCTGTAATGGTTTGAGCTCCAAAAACTAATCACTTAGTCCTTGCATTGAAATTCTTCCAGTTGAGAGTAATTAACCTGGGCTATTAGCATAAACTTCCCCTGATATTTACATGTGAAAGAAAATCCTGAACTTTTTTCTAAATTATTCTTTCTTCCTTTTTTGTAACAGTCCAATGATGATAATTACACAGAAGATCACTAGTTTGGCATTTGAGATTCATGATGGTAAGATTTCTTTCAACTGTGTTTTAATTTTCCATACAAAATAAATTTAAGGGAAGTTAGTCATGAGTCATGAGTTACTTTAGTCCAGTTTGTGTTTTAGGCCAAAATATATTTTTGTGACTCAATTGATTCTTTTGATGCTTAATAATGGAAGTACGAAGATATGTTGCTCAGACACTACAAAAGCTCTGAGAATGCTTACATTGTGCAGAAGATACTATTTATCAGAAGACCAATGACACTTCTGGGGCCAGTGACCAAAGGCCACTGACATTTTTTGGGCTGGGATATTGATTCTGAGAGTTAGCTAAATAATTTCCAAATTCAGAGATAGCTGTTTCTGACAGATTGGTAGAAAAAGGACATGTAACTTCAGTTATTGAGCACCTCTTGTTTTACAATGCTAACTGCTAATCTCCCCCTAATTTGCGCCATGTATACTGATTTTTATAAAACCTTTGTATATGTTTCATTTTGTTTATTATCATAATTACACTTGATGCTAACGTATCAGCGTGAACAGTGAGATTATCTAATTATGTTTCTGTCTTTTCTCCTGTCAGATATATCCATCAGATAAGTGGGCCCTAGTTGTGACAAAAATGAATCCTAACATTGGCTTTCGTGGGTAGGGTATCTAGATTTTTAGTTACCTTTAAATTCAAAGGAGTAATTTTAATTTTAAAGTTTGAAAATATCATCCAATAAACCTAGGCAATTAACTTGAATTGCTTGGAGCTACAGCTGTCAGTTGCAGATTTGGGAGTGTAGCCCCAGACACCTGGATCAAGCCACCTGGTTTTCTGAAATTTCTTTAGTAACATTATGTATGGAGTTTAATATGTTTTTGTCTCATATGCATCCTAGCTTTAGTGCTGTTGGTGTTTCTTTTTTTCTTTTTTTTCTTTTTTTTTTTTTTTTTTTCTCCATTCTTGTTAAGGTATACTACCTAGAGAAGTCTGTAGGCAACAATATTCATGAATATGAAAAGTCGGGAGAACACCTTTTTGTAAGAATTCTTGTATGAATGAAAATAAATAAATAATGCTGGGCATATCTAGTCAGTCAAAGAAGTTGATGTCTAACTTCCAGAGAAAATATATTCGGAAGTATTAGTCTTGCAAGCTATAATCAGAGTATGGACTACACAAGTTAGGGGAAACAGCTTATTATAAGGAAGTAATAATTCCAATATCAAAGATAAATGCTTCCTCTTACTATTATTTTGCTAGGGGAAAGAACTATTCTTGATTTACTGACATCATGCGCAAATAGTGGAGTTGTGGTATGGGACAAGCATGTGAGTGTTCCTCGTAATCTTGAAACAAATGTTTCATTTAGTCACCTATATTCTTAGCTTTCATTACAAACTAAACTAGATTTTTTTTTTTTCCCTACTTAAATGAATTCAGATAACTTGTATTTTCCTCATAAGCCCAGCTTATTTTCTGTCTGAATTTCTTGTAGATATCATTGAATTCTGAGTATAAATCTTGAAATTTTGTTCCTTGTCATATCAGAGATCCTCTAGATGCTTTGTCAGCCGGTGGGGAGTAGCTGATAATACATTGCAAAACTTTCTCTCTGGTTGCATTTGCAGTTTAGCAGAGTCCTTAGCTTGAGTTGGGTGATCACCGTTCCTGGAAGCACAGTGTGAACGTGACTTTCAAAAGTTGATGTGACCAATGTGAATTCAGGAGCAACTGCTAGTCTGGTGTCAGGAGATGCTAAGAAAAGATGTACGGGGGAAACAGATTGTATTAAAGCAATGATTTTTTTTTTAACCTTAGACAACTTAAAAGGGCTCCATCATGAGAAATTAATGACAACAAGCCTACTGTCAATGGGCTTTTGTTCACTGTACAAAGGTCCATGCTTCCACTGGAAAATACTTTAAGATATATACTGACAGGGGAAGAGATAATGTTGAAAATCATTATACGAAGTGATTAATGGCACTCTGAGCCTCTAGTAACATCAGCTTGGCTGTGTTAATCAACAATTACTTTATATTCCTCCCTCATTTTTTACCAGTATGTCCAAGGAGAGGTAATGAAAATAAACAGCTGAAAGAAAGGTGTTGGTGTGTTGGAAGATCTCGGTAAGCTTCAAGAGCCTAGTTGTAGTTAGGCTGGTTTTGTGGTAAAGGCAAATCTTCTGGACTTGATCTTTTCCTGGCAGCCTGTTTGTTGTGTTCAGCTGGTTTCAGTGTTACATTTGAAGGTCCTGGAGAGAACTGGATATAATCATGAAGGCCACTCACTCACGCTGCATCTTAAAGAGTCTGTCTAGCTGAGTGGATATGCTTGATTCCAAGTTGAACACTAGTATAGAATCCCATAAATAATTACCCCTATAACTGTTACAACCCTGTGCACTTAGTAGGGGCATTTTTAAGCAGGAAAATTCTATGCAAGTTGCATAAGATTGATTTAAGCTTGCTGTATGATACTGACTTTTCAGAAGGTTGGATGGATCACAAATTTACACCTGAGTAAATGTGCAGTATGCCTTTTGTGCACTCTGATTAACATCTTGAACTTAAGCCCTTGATAGTTCCTGCCTTCTTACAGTTTCTTGTTACTCAAATGAGCACTGCCAAAGTGGTCCGTATGTTAAGATTTGCTTTGTATTTCTTTCTGATTATCTTTGGCATCACACGTATATTCTAAAGGCAGAAATGTTTTCACATGATTTGGAGACTGCTTGTGTCCATATTCATTCTTTACGGCAAGATTTAGATTTATTTATGCAATGCTTCAGGCTAATGACAGTTAAGGGAGAAAAGGAATTTTTTGTACTTCAGATCCTATATTCTGGAGTACCTTTTTTTCAGCAAATTTAAAACTGTATTTTTAAAAAGAGTATTTGGGAGAAGGAAAAGTGCATTGCAGTTATTTTAGAAGCAGGGGGCTTGCCTACAGGTGTGGTTTAGAAGGGCTACGAAATGGAGGATTGTACTTGCACGAGAAATTTCTAGCTAAGAGATGGTGGCAAGTAGAGAAGCTTTTGCAATTACAGTTATAACGTACTAAAAGTTAAGCAGGGGAGAGGAAGAGAGATGCTGTCACTGCTTAACTCTGTATCTTGCAAGGAGTTTGTACGGCATTCTTCCTTTTTTGCATATAACCCACTCATCCCCACAGAGCCTCACTCATGTTACTGCAATTCTGTATGAGATCAGGGATCTTTACAGGAAAGATGCATACCCAAATCTAACCTCACTAATCTGTGCCCTTTGGCAGCTTGTTTTTAATTCTAGTGCTTAATGAATCTTAAACAAAGAGTCTCTTCAAATGTTTATATTCATAACCCATTGAAGTTCTGGAGCTCAGTGTATTTATTTTTAAGTCTTCAAGAGATTCAGCCAGCAAAACTAGGGAACGTTAGACTTGATATTTGATATTTAAAAGGAAAAAAAAAATTCTCACAGCTTCTTCCAACCTTGTTCTTGTTTCTTTTTCTCTAATTTAAACTAAATAATACGTAAAACTGTAAAGAAAAAAAAAAAAGTCATTTTTTAAATGTAATACCCATCTACTAAACATGAAATCTAATTCTTCCAAATTATTTCTTCATATTACTATGTTGCACTTGTCCATAAAAATGTGTGGCTAGGTACAGGTAAGAAACCAGAACCATAACACTCGTCTGCCAGCTGCTTCTTGGTTCCTGGGGCTTATCTCACATGCTTTCTGATGACAAAAAAATAAACTCTTTGTTCCTGTGTGTACCCTTCTCCCATCCCTTATGCCTTTGGTTTCAGCTCTGTAGTTGCTGATTTTTAAATGTGCTTTTCCTGGAATGCTGCTTGCTTTTTTCCTAATTATTATTTTCTCCTATGTATCTGGCGCTCTCCATTTTTAACAGCAATAGAGTAGCCATTGATGCTAATCTGGTAAGGCACTGCATTTGCTGTGAGAACTAAAACGAGACAGAGTGCAGTGAATATGCAACTCAAAGGATTATTTTATTTTTTTTTTTACCTCTGGCTTTTAGTTTGAATTATGTATTGGCGAAATATAATTAAAGGCTAGTGTTACACCAGTATTTTAGGTCTCATTTACTTTGCTCCAACAGCAGGCTATTAGGACAATGGCTGGATTATTTTATGCTGTTTTTCCTCATATTGCTATTGTATTATTACAAAGTTGTCGGATTTCCAAATAGGCTATTAGAGCCTATTGCCCCCTGCAAAAGAATGGAAGTATAGTCTCTGTCCAGTATGGCCCCTGAGAAGAGATAGATTTCAGTGGATAGATGAAACATATGGAAAATGGGAAGGAGATGAGGAAAAAGAAACAAAGGTGGTGTTGGAGAAACTTATGTGCAAACGCTGTATTAGTTGCTGTGGTCTTAGTTATCTGTTGCTACCTGCCTCATCAGGTGTGGTACTACACCATACACCTGAGAGGTTCTTCAGACAAGGCTTGATTTTTTTTTTTTTTTTTAAATTAGAAAGTAAATTTCTTGTTGGTTTGCAGCTAACGAGCAGTCCCATCCAGACTGCAATACCTGCTATTACGTTAGTAGCAATGGTTTTGTTAGCTGTTCTTGAACAATGCAATAGTGTCAGAAGTATTGAAGAATGTTTCTTGATTTAGTTGATACAAACATTTCTTCTTTATTTTCAGTTAACTAGATTCTTTGCCTTTTACTTTTCTCAAAGGCAAATAATTCCCATATTCAGCAGAAAGACACTACAACTTTCTAAAGGTAAAAGGGAACATGCTGTGTTTTGGCCAACTTACTTTTGTGATAAAATGGGGTTTTTTGTTGTAGTGAGAAGCAGTAAGTTTAGAATGTTTTTATGAAAATAAAGGTCTCAAACTATCAATGTGCTTTTCTGATTTCAAATAGGTCCATTATTATTATTATTTCTTTTTAAAAGTGTATTTGGATGGTTGCTCTTGTGAAAGTATAAGCAAGAGAAAACTGAGACAGAGAAATGTGCGCTTAGGTATGCAGAACTAAATGCTCTTAAGGATTTTTGATAGGTCATCATGACCCAGATCCAATTTATAAATGCTGGTATTAGAGCAAAAAAGTTGCAGCTGTTTAACCAAGAATGTTGTTTTCTAATTTGTCTGTTAATTGTGTCAGTGAAACTTCCATGGTGTGGTGGTGTGTGTGGGTGGTTTTTTTTGGGTTTGTTTGGTTTTTTTGGTAACTTGGTGCTTTCTTCTTATGTCCAGGAGTTTCTTTTAATCCTCTCTCTCCAGTTGTCTCTCGATCTATATTTTTTTTTTAAGTGCTCCGTCTTGTGTTAGTGACAGCATGGTCATTATTGTTTCAGTATCAATTACCAAATCACTTTGATTACAGTACATGTCATTAGCGTTTAAAGGAATTATATTGTATTTCTCCCCTTCTAAGTCTTCAGATATTGTTCTGGGCCTATGTTTGCTTGCATGGCTCTCTGGATATCAAGACTTATGATTTTTCTTGCTTTTTGTGGTTTCTTTGCAATTTTACTCAGCTGGTATCTGTGTCTGTTTGCTTTTGTTGCTGCCAATGTGCTAGTAACAACTAAAACTCTTCTTGTCTGTCTGTCTTATTCAGATCTTAAAATACTTTAATAACAGCATGCATTTGGGCTCAGCTGGTGGATCCCTTTCAGAACCTCAGATTAAAATTTACTGTAATTACAGCAGAGCCTGCGATATGATCTCCATGTTTAAGTATTAGTAATGTAATATAATCTTACATCTAACTATTATTAATGGATTACTGATTAGCCAGGTTTCATGCAAATACAAAGGTGGATATATTCAAGCAGATTAACCATAAAGCTGGGGTGGTGCTATGATATGATTGTAAACATTGCGTTATCGCAGTGAGAGCATGGTAGTAGTCATAATATGCCTTAATACATCCTATATGGCAGGATATTGGTGTGTACCTAAAGATGTTGATTTTATTACCATTAGGATGTGGTCTCCTGAGGAGGAATAAAAAGATGCAACTTCCTCATGATCTAGACCACTAGGGATAATTTTTTTTGCTGATTATTTACAGAATTCTTTTACCAAGGAAGGAACGTAGGAATATTTCCTACTTTACAGATGAGAAAACTGAGTTATAGTTGCTGAATGACCAAATGATTTCACCTCTCTAACAGATGTTCGATAAAACCCGTTTTCTCTAATCCCCACTGTGTGATTTGGTAGCAACTAAAAGCTGCAGCTATTGCAGTAGACTCCTGTTTTAGACAGGAGAAAACAATTCTCATAATCCCCAGAGAAAGGTTACTAAACTTCATGAGTTCCCTAGCAGCGGTGTGCTGCTGAAGGTGGGGTTCCTTCATCTCCAATGTGTAGTAAGTAGGGAACAGCTATGATTTATGAGGCCTCTGTTCCCATGGGCAAATACGCTGACAGGGAAATATTGAATGTATATATATTAATTCCTCTCATATTAGATAAGCATCAATATAAGAGCACCTTTTCCATATGTTTTTTCTATGAATTAAATGTTAACAGTAGCTTCCTGAAAGCCTTCAAGAGTATATGACAGCGGCAGAGATCAATGGTTTCCTTGTTCTTGCATGCTATGCAAAGATGATAAATGGGCCTTCAAGGCACTTGAGAAGACACTTAAAAAAAAAAAAAAAATACAGGGAAAGCCACTGAACTGACCTCAAAGAAGCTGCTGGCTGGAGGGAAATCTTAGTGAGATAGGGAAATTAAAAATTAATGGAGGTTCACTTGTATGTTTGAGACAGCAAGTGTATTGCTCACCAGTTTATTTAGGCCTTAAGTGGCTTCTCTTGTATGTTTATATATAACTTGAACCCATTTTAAATATGTCAATTCTTTGTTCCTCCCCCCTCCAAAAGTGTAGGTCATATTTCAGTGGTTAGATTCTTCTATTTCAGGTTTGAGGTTTTTTTTTCTTTCCTCCTGTTTCATACTACATAAATGATATGAAATCTTTCATTTGACTAATTACCTTTATTTAGTGGTTAGTCTGGCTTTATGCAGGTTCATTTGGACACACTTGGTGATTGCTTCCTCTTTTTGACTTAAGGGTAAAATACCCCTATGGAATATAACAGGGAAGGAGACTCCTGCTCCGGTCAGTTTGCTTTGTATATGCTGTGAGACTACACTAGTCATGTCGTGTGAGCTACATCTGTCTAAAGGAGCCTTTGTGTTAAATTTCTGTTTAAGTTTGTGTTAAATTCAAAGATTCATTACCTGAGAACTGTAATCTTGTGGCCTTAAAGGTTAAAGGACCTTTCAAAATGCTTCTCCCACATTTTTTTTATTCCATACAGTTATCAGTGTAGAAATCTTTGCTGTAGCACCAAGGAGAAGATGTGAAAACGTAACGATGGGGAAGAGAAAGCGCCTGTATGAAGTTAGGGGTGATGCTTTGTCCTTCAGTTTGTTGTCTTGAGTGGGTATGAATGGGGGTGACTTTCCACTTGAAGGATCAGTACCGAGGAAGGTATATTTTTCCAAGTCGTATTGGAAGAGGGGAGATGGCAAGTTGCTAACCCCTCTGTATTCTCAGCTTTGTTGCAGACTAAAAGTGCAGTTTTAAAGTCCTAAGTGTGTATAGGTCATGGTTCCTGGAGTCACGAAGACAACAGAGTTATCTTCTCTTTAGATAACAAGTATTTCCACGAGTCATAGAATTAAGCAAGGTTTGACTTCCCCCTTGCCCCCCAATCTTTTTTTGTCTTAAGCCTGGCTGATTTTGATATCTAGAAAAAAATTGGCTCCAGTTAAAACTTTCCTTATGCTTGGATCAAATATAAGGGCTCCCCTCCCCTCTGTGGATTTACTGGCATCAAGGGGTGGAGTTGAAGGCAACCTTTCTGTGAGTGGAGGATCTTCTGTAGACTCACCTGTTTTCATAAAGCACATTGGGATTTCATATCTGTATTACCTCTACTCTTTCATGAAACTTGGTTAGAAATTGGCTGTTGAATTCAGGCACTGTTAGGGAGGAAGGTAATTCAAGTGGGATTCCATAAACTTAATTTCCTTTAGGAAGCTATGCTCACAAAAATATTTTTTTTTTCGTGCTTATGATGGCAAAGAACACTTGCAAATGTGAATAGCAGGGAATGGATGCGTGCGCTAATGTCCGAACCAGTAGAGAGGCTGCAGAAGGAGCTGAAGCAGTCATTTTGGCAAGCAGTACTGGCTGCGGTAAACCAGGGCTGTCTGAAGGAAGGAGTTCTGCTTCTTCTGTGCCCCTGAATTAGTGTATTTTATAATAAAGTGTTGAAGGTCATATTTTTTACTTTTCTCTTTTATGGGAGTACAAATTTGGAAGCCTATTTTTCAGTGGTAGGCCACCAGCATTTCAGAAAGTGCCATGTATGGCAAGAAGGCATGTTCAGTCTTGCTGCTGAACTTAGACTTGGCCTGCCCCCTTCTACTAGCAGGAGTTGGGGCTTCTCATTAGTGAAGACTTATAAGAAGACTTTAGCACCCTTTACTATTGTGCCTGCTTCACTGGACCTTGTTTCCAATCTTCACTTGCAGCCTGAAGGTGCTCTTCAGGTCTGCCTTAAGTTTTGAATTGCTTAAATCTCTCTTGGTCTGTGTTCATACTATACCTCAAAAGTGCAATGACTAGTGTAATGTCCTAGGGTTACTGCAATGCTGAAAGGGGTTTGGGGCTTGTCCGGTTCCCAGGACTAGGAATAAAGGGTTTTAAAACCTGCAGACTTTGAAACGTTAACCAATGTAGGGGAATTATATTTGTCAACACTTATTACTAGCCTTCTTAATGCTTTCCTGAAATCCATGTGATTTCAGGTTTAGGCACTGTTGGATATAACTGAAGATACAAGAGTTTGTAATTTTGCCAACAGTAAGAATTGTTTAATCCAACTCCAGCAAAAATGTTATGTGACATAATACCTCTGAAATTACTTGAGAACTTAAGAAATTACATTGCAGCATGAGGCTTGCTCTACTGAGTAAAGAAACTGCTAATTAATCTGTGGGGGTTTAGCTTTTCCTTATTTTCTTTTTTCTGTCCTCTTCCCTAGGAATGTTTCGGAAAAATGAAGATTTGACTCCATCACAGAGGTGTCTGGCTGTAAGGTAGGCTTTCATACATCTCTGAGAGTCTAGTTTTGGGGGTGGGCAGAAGCTGGTGTTTTGTGTGCTTTATTAATGCTCTGTGGAATTGCTACAGTTCACACTCAAGATAGAGAGTTTACAAACTCTTGTAAAACAGATCCGTGTTTTTTATATTTGTAGCTTAATTCATACATCTATTCTCCTGGAAAATATCACTAGAAGTAGGTTTTAACTTATTTAAGAAAAACATTCTAAGTTCTATGCAGTCTATGCAAATTAATGCTGTATCAGACAGGAGACTAGTTAACATTTAGTACACGTATAAAGTAGCTGGTGAAGGAACATGCTTGTTTAATTCTGGTTTTAAGTACTTAACTTACCTTTTCTCCTTTCTTTATTCAGGAGACTTGAAATAGTATGCTGTCCTGGGCAAAACAGGCACTTGAGGCATTTTCCTTAATTGAAATTATTATTGAAATTATTGCCAGTTAACACAAACCTTTGTTTACTGATTCAGTTATTGAGGGGAAAAAAAAGAAGACAAACAGTTGAAAAAACACTTAGGGAAACACCCTTCCTTCTCCTTCCCCAGGCTTAGCTTCAGTCAAACACCTCTCCTGGGCAAGGAGGGAGTCACCAGAGTTCAGGGGATCTGTCTGAAAATGCTCAGTACGGATTGGAAAGAAATACTATGTGTAGAATGTTTTAAGCTGTGATTACAAAAGACACGCAAACTGCTTTTCTACATGTGGTTTTTACTGCAGTTAGAGTAAGCAATAACATGGAGTACAACTTTTCCTACTGTGGAATTCTGTAGAACTACACATTCCATCTCACGAGTTGCTTGTCTTTGAATTACAGACGCATGCCAAGTCTACTGGAGTATTTAAGTTACAACTGTAATTTCATGGGTATCCTGGCAGGCCCGTTATGCTCTTACAAAGACTATATTACTTTCATTGAAGGCAGATCATACCAACTGCAACAGTCTGAAGCAAATGGGAAGGAAGATACAAAATATGAACAAACGGATCCTTCTCCAAATGTAAGATGTATGACTCTTGCAGTGCCGATGCTTACGTAATCATTGCATGAAAAGCTTGGTTTGCACTGTTCATTTACAGGCATAACTTCTGAGCTGCATCTGGAGTTCATTCATCAACAGTATAGTTCCCTGTTCAAAAAGTTAAATACTTATTTTTTTTAAGGCAGGTTTTCTCCATGGTTTCCAGTCTGGATCTTGTGGATAAAAGCAGATTAAATTGGAGCTTCCTTACAAGCTTATATGGTAAAAAGACATCTTTAAATTAAAACAGTTCATGCATAATTCCTTCAAAGTATATGCTGTGCATAAAAAAAGTCCTGGTAAGGACGAAGTGCACGTTTTGTCATTTGAAAGCTAATGAGACTTAAAAGTTCCAGCAAGGTTTCATGAAAGTTCTCCAATTCTACTGTTTTTTAATGTCTTCTTGCAGCAAGTAGGAAACGTTCATATGTAACAAGTTGAAAAATGCTCATAGAAATAGTTTTCATTTTTCTTGCTTTCATTCATGTAGAGAGGTATTAAAGGTGGATTTTGATCTGACGGTGTAGTAAGAGATGTACTAGCCATAACACTATGGCTAGTAATCCATATAACATTATTTCTTTTTTTCCCTCTTTGTTCCGTTATTGGAAAAGAGACCAAATACATAGAGAAGAAAGTCCTGTTGATCATACCTTACAAGAGATATTGTATGGCCTGAATTAAAATCAAAAGCTCCCAAAGCTTTGTTACTTTTTAAATTTAATCCAATTAGCTTAACGCTCAGGGTGCTGAATATTATCTTTTCAATTCTTTCATATTCTCTTAAATAGGAGTGTATCAGACTTATAAATTTGTGTGTGCCTAAGATAATTATTACCACACATAAAAAGCAAAATTATCATGGAGTCGACTGGGACACTTCAGATAAATGGCTTTCGCTAATTCCATTGCCAATTACTTGTTTTCTGCTTATCTTGTGGACCACCAACTATTGCTGGAGCAGATGAAGGCATTCCCACACGTAGCTGCTTGTCATGTCCTGCCATCTGGAGGTTACCATCCCCACAGCTGGGCTAATAGGGAGTGCTTCCCAATCGGCTGTGCCATCTCCAGCTACTTCCATCCTCTGAATGCGGATGAGGACTCTGCACATTCCATTCTACCTGTCTTGTGTGGTTGTAGTAACTTGCACCACAGGAATGTAAACTACTGGCTGGAGGATGATAACATTTTAAAAGTCTCCACATGTTGACAAAGTACCTAAGCTCGTAGAAGTATGCTGTGGAGCAAGTACTCAGGAAGGGAAGAAGCCACAAGAGCCTTCCTTGCACGGATTAACACCTCATAGTCTGTAGTCTGCACTGATGTCTTGTATTGACAAAGTGGCAGACACTGCTTTTGTTTTTAAACATCATCTTGGCTCAGCACAGGCATCACATCTGATGTCCTAAAAATCCTATTTCTGCAGAAAAGTAGTGTAGTAAAATTATTGCAAATAGATGGAACTAACCAAATCTGCCAGTATCAGTACTTCTGGACATGCATCTACTGATGGCCTGGCAGGACTTCCTAGCTTTTTACCACATCATCTTGCTAGCAGTCTGAACAAAGTCAATAGGAATAAATGTAAACCTATGATGGATTCTTCTTTCAGGTAAGCAGTTTTCCTTAAAATGAATTGCTCGTAAGATGCTTGAAACTTTTGGTGGTTTATGCTGCATTAGCTTTGACATAAAAATAAAGAGAAGCTGTCTATGTTGTTGATACTTCATCTCCCAACTGGTGTTAGAGAAATCTGGCTGCGTTTTATAACACCAGCGAGTATTGTGTGCTTTTGGAGAAATATGGATGATATAATTTTACTGCATTTGCTGCATCAATTAAAATATCCATTGTCTTGTTGTAGAAGAATGTTTAAATACCATTAACTTCATATTAATACTGTTCCTTGATTCTTATGTTATTATTTCAAGAAGAATAAATTGTTAGGTAACTCAAAAAATGAAGTGTAATGGGGATCAGCAAATGTTAATGTATAAATGGAAAAAAAAAATCCTTCAGCTGAGTTACAATAAGTTTCATTTCTTGTTAAATATAATTACATACCCAAAGTAGTTCATGCCAGCCTCCTCCTCTATACTGTGTGTTGACTGCATGATGTTAACTTGGCTTAGTATTTTTGCTGTGTTCATTGCATGTTAAGTTAATCAAGTCAACATATTAAAACTTATTTCTTATATCCCTCCTATTGTGCCTTTTTGCAAGCTATCAATTGTTGGTGCTCAAAGTGGTGTCAACTCTCAGAAATTAATATCTGTCTTTGTAAGTTTCTTTTTATTATGGCTACCCTTAAAATACAAGATTCCTGTCAGCAGATATCTGCTTTCTTGCTTATTATGCAGACTCTTCCTACAGGTTATAAAGTTCTTACTTAATTACCTGTAATTTTTACCTGAGGTGCTAACCTCCTCAAAATAATACACTTTAACACAGTTCAATATTATACTGAGCTCCTTATTGATCATTTATCAACTGAGAGGAATAACAGATTCATTCAAATAAAAGGTTAAAAGATCCTTTTCTACTTTTTGGTATATATTTATATATATTATACATATTTATACGACAATATATTTCTAAAATTCCTGAGCTCAGTGAGTGTTGTACCTTTATTGCTTCAATTATAAAGCTGTTCCTGAACTCCTTTCTCTGACTAGGAATCTAGCTTTCAACCTAATTATATTCCCGTCTAATGAATGCACATTTGGTTTTGTCCTGGCACTGTCTTTTAGCTTAAGCACCTTTTTACCTTCCCAGTGTTGGCCATATTTGATATTTTTATAGAGGTATTCTCAGGTTTTGTTCATCAAAGCTAAATGAGCTAAGCCTTTCTACCTTTTTGTTGTAAAATAAATTTTATGTCCTACTTCATGTGAGATCAGTTATCTTGCAGCTTAAGTTCTTTTAATTCCTTAACAGAACAGTTATTTTGGGGAAGTGCAGTTTCTGAGTTATTCCACAATAACCAGGTGTTATTTTTCAACTTGATATGTTGAAAACTTCAAAGAGTGAATGAAATTACACTTCAAACTTCTTTAAATTAGTTACTTCATCCTTGTAAAAACTGACCAACCCTCCTGTGAATTACTAGTGATAATCTAGTGATTACCCACTTATGCCTTGGCAGAGAAGCTTGTATCAATAACCTAGTTAATTAAGCAATAGGAAGTGAATTAACATTTTACCAAATGCATTTCTATAGGTAATTGAACTATAGATTATTTTGGTGTCAGGTAAGGACTTCTGTTTCTGTGTAAATGTATTTGAATCTGGAGTGCTATAAACAAGCCTCAGACTGTAGTTTAATAATCTATTTAGGTCAACCCAAGTATAAACTCTTCCTGAATACGGTAGCTCCTGGCTGTGCATTCTGGGTCCTTTGCTTATTGTAGCAGTGCTAACATGCATTGCACTGCGTCGTGGTCTGAATCAGATAATTTGATCCAGTCTAAAATGAATTTATCATTTAAAAAAAAAAAGAAGGCAAAACCCTCAAAGGCTAAATTTACACTTGATTTGCTTTTCTAATCTGACTCACTAGCAGGAAAAGAGCAAAAACTTGCAGCCAAGGTGAGGAGACAGGGCAGGACTGCTTCTTTGCGTTGCAGCCTGTGTTTGGCTTGTCCTTCAGAAAATCTGCTTAAACCAATCTTGAAACTGCAGCTCCCAGTCTCTGTAGAGGCGGGAGATTATCTCCATCCTTGTTTGCTAAGGACACTAATGTACCTGATACTGATCCCTGGAGCTGGTATCAGCATGTTTGATTGGGGTTCTGGGATTTATAGTTATTGAGTGAAGTAGTATAATTTAAAAAGAAAAAAAAAAAAAGTCATGCTGTTTCTGGATGTAGTTATGCTTGTCCCCACACCTAAATGTTGCTGCTAAAAAAATTGTAGAAAAACATCATTTAGATACTTAACAAAAAAACCTAAACCACCTTCCTCCTACAATATTTTTTTCTACAACTACAAATTGAAAACTGCGGAGTTTATTTTTTAAAAGTACAATTTATGGCAGAGCCCTAAATAATGAGTAATAATGAATTCATTTTTTTTCTTAAGATAGATTTTGTTGAAACTCTGATGCTTTTCCTTAAAAGAAGGGCTTTCACCTCCATGATTTGGTTAAAAACCGTCACAGAGGTACGAAGCGTATTTTGGATTGAATAGGCAGAGTAATGATTTCTATTCACCAACAGAAAAACTGGTAAATAGTGGCAATGGCAAAAAGCAGGCCTTCAGACAGAGATAACATTACTTATAAGTTGCCAAAACATATTTTGAGACTTTGTAGAGATCTTCAGATTGAAAACACCTATTTTATATGTTTATTCTTATATTTTAAGTTGCTTGCTAATGTTACAAGCCTATAAATGCTTTCTCATGCTTAAATTGAACATGACTTTAAATTATGGCTTAGACTTTGAAGTTAAGTCCTTGCAACTTTCTTCAGAACTTTGGGGAGATGTCTTACTTACAAATACCTAACTTTTGCATGTGTCAGATATTGTGTACCAAAATTAAAGATTCATTAGTGTTAAAAATAACTGATTTTCTGAACATTCATTTCTATTTAAATTCCTGAAGGAGTTAAACCAACTGAACTTTCCCTCTGCTCTGGCAAAGAGAGAGATGGATTAATAGTTGCTAGAAAAACAAAGGAACACTTTTAGAAAGTTAATGCCCTTTACGTTGAATGCTTGTAATAGAGTAAAATGTTAAAATGAAGTTTATTAGAAAGCAAGTAGAAACAAATAATTAAACACCAGCTTTAGCTGTTAATAAGTAGTTGCCTCCTGAATTATCCAGCTGATTTGTTTAATTAGCTGGGTTTTCTGACCCTCTCTGAAATATTTTCTGAGATAAGCCACATGAAATATATGCAATATCTGAAGTTACTCTCGCCATTTTACAGCTTTTCCAAGACTAACTTTTTATCAGGTTGTACCACCTCTTACATCTGTGTGACTGGGTGAATCTTTGATACTGTGTGTCTTGCAGAAATCTGTGTTTTCAGTTGGGCACTTAATGCTCCGTTCTGTATCATGGAACAGAATTACTCTGTGTTTTGGAAGTAGATATGTGAAGCTGCACTCTAATTGAAGCAGGACGTTGTCTTTAAAAGTTTCGGCAGGAATACTGGAAGCAGGATGGACAGAAAAAGGATTTTGGTTATCTTTTTGTTCTGATGCTTCAAAGAAAACTAGTTAGATTGATTGATTTCTTGCCAAGTTTAGTGTTTGTAGAATTGTAATGTTTAAATATAAATATCGAGATTACTTACAATCAAAACTTGAAAATTACATTTAAATGAACTAGCTCTCAAACTTGTCTTTTGTAGGTGCTTGGTTAGTGTGTTACTTCAGGAACTTGCACAGAACGTGGTATCTGCCCTTGGGATGTGTGTGGATCAGACTAGCTACTTAAAGCAGTCAATGCCGTGCATTATTGCTCTGTGTTTTATAATAGAACCTTAGAAATATTCTCCTAAAAATGCATACTCTTTACTGTGGTGGCTATAGAAAAACTGAATTTTGAGAAAATCTGAGTCCGGGTCCTTCCTGAACAACATATTTTTACATGTCTGTGAGCATATTATTTGAGCCCTTATCGCTTGACCACTCTAGTTGGGAAACACGTCTACATAGAACTGAGCTATTTTGGCTGTAAATTAATAAATTATTTCAGTATTTTAGTTGGTTTAGAATTTAGACGTTGTAATAATCTAACAGAGATGATTGATACATTGAGTTGGGCAGCGATTGAACACCTGCATTATGCCAAAGATCACTGAAATGAACTGAAGCTTTGCCATTGTTTTTTGGAATCTCTGCAATAATTGTACTCATCTTGTCCTAGATTATATGCTTTGTGTTGTGATGCCGTAGCAACTTACTTGCTTCAGGAATTTGACAATAAAGTAAGAAAAAACTGGAGATGCAAAAGATGTTCCTGTTATTGAAAGGGTTTTTAGAGGCTGCCAGTAGTCAGATTGGATTTGCTGTGTTTGCCAGAAGTGGTGCTCACAACTTAATCAAGATAACGATATTCCTTGAGCCTCTATAAAATGTTACCAACTATTTTAAAGTCGGTAGTATAGATATTACTGAAAAATTGACATAAATATACATCTGTTTAGGGAAGGAAGATTACAACTTGCCTTTGTTTCTAAAGATTATCAAAACATGATGCTTACAAAGTCTCCCATCTTAAACTTTTCAGATAGCCGTGGCACAGAAACTCTTAATCTGTGGACTGTCCTTACTCTTCCACATGACTATTACAAAAACTTTGCCTGTGGAATACAACATTGATGATAACTTCAGAGCTACAGCATCATGGCCTGTAAGGTTTTTCTATCTATACGTGTCCCTTATGGCTGCCAGACCCAAGTATTATTTTGCATGGACTTTAGGTAAGTACATATATTAAAATAAAAGAAAGTGTATGTATTGAGTTTCATGTGAGATGTTGCACACTAAGCATGTATTAAAAACTGACAGTGCCCTCTTGAGGCCTTAGGAAAACATTATTACATTTAAGTATTATGAGGTATTGTCAGAGTATATTGAATGGTGTCTCTCATTTTGAGAAACAAAACTTACCAACGCACAGTCTTGTGACAGTGTTGCAAATGAGATCGTGGTCTCCTGAACAAATCTGAGTGAAACATAAGGTTTTTTGGAGAGCGATAGTGTTTTAATGAGCAATTACTTTTTGGTGTTTTAAAAATTGTAGTAAATCTAGTCTGATGTACAATCCCTGATTTTTTTTTTTTTTTTTGATACCTTGGTTTTGGCATACCTGAAAAGTTACTCTAAGCATCTTTCTGTGGTTAGTTATCAGTTATTTGCTTGATGTTATTCAAGCATGAAGGAAAAATGAATATATTGAAATTCAGATATATCATAGTGTTGTTAATAACAGATTTTCAGTAGTATCTTCAGAATTTGGTGGGTGACACTTCAGTTTTAGTCTTTGTTTACTCAAAGTTCTAACTGACTGATGGGATAGCACCCATAGTCGCTGATTTAAGGCACTGAATAGATGATATAGTTTAAAGAACGTTTTGCTTTTCCCTTTGCATTATTTGAAAAAAAAACAACACCTACAACAGCAAAATGTGTTATTTATGTAAGCTGACATCTTGGAAGTGGCTCACAAAACAGATTTCATCAGCTTCCTCCTCCTCTCCCGTTTTACATATTTTTTTTCGTAATTCTTTTGAGAGACAATCTGTGGGAAACAATGCAATAAAGAAAGCCTCAGTGTAGCAGAGCAGCATGACTCATTTACAGCTGCTGGTTTCATTCCTGGTCAATGAATGAAGTGCTTTCAGCTTGTCTGGATATAGTAATTCTGGGGCTTGTTGTGGAATGAAATAATTTTGAATATTGTGCTGTTATGCACCAGTATCATCGTCTGTAAAGAGTAGGAATCATCTGAAAAAATGAGTAATCTTCACTTGTTTGGTTTTTTTTTCCCCCCTGTAATACTTCGGATGGATTTCTCCTTATGCGCTTGCTAGCGGTATAGAGCTAGCATTCCTTTGGTAAAATACTGAAGAAAGTAAACTGTATCAACTCTGTACTTTTAGTTTGCTAAATAACTTTTTTTTCACCTTCTTCCTTCCACTTTGCCTCATCTAAACTTCTGATGGTATGAGTAGAATGTGAGGGAGCTTTTAACAGTTTTACTGGATGTTATGCTTTTGAGTTGTACATTGCTACATTGTACATGGCACTTAAGGAAAAAAAATTGTTAATAAAATGAATTACTTAAAATGAATACTTAGTAAAATGCTAGTTAATAAAATGAGTACTTACCTTAGCTAGTAAGAGATTATGGAGTCCATGTCTTCAGCTGTTTCTAATTGAGCATAAAATCATTGCCTAATGTTTGAAGTTGACATCAGTGATATCAGATGTATAACAGCCAATTTTGTTGCTTTCAAAGATGTTTTTTTTTAAATGGTTATTGATGAGGAAATAAAAATATTATAAATTACCCTATATTAAATTTCACAAAGCCCTCTTCCAGACTGGTAGATAACTGGAGAAACTGACCTTCAGGAAAAGAACTGTTTGAGTCAATTCTTTCTTTTATTTTCCAAATAATACTGGATTAATACCTTGAAAAAGTTGTTAACAAGAAAGGAAAATGCAAAAGATATAAATTTCTTACATGTCACTATTGTATAAAGTACAACATGGTACTTTTTAACATGGTAATACAAACTGAGCAATTTCTCTTGCCTTGCTAGCTGTAATCAGGTGGCCAAGAGGGCCAATGGCATCCTGGCCTGTATCAGGAATAGTGTGACCAGCAGGACCAGGGAGGTGATAGTGCCCCTGTACTCGGCACTGGTGAGGCCGCACCTCGAGTACTGTGTTCAGTTTTGGGCCCCTCACTACAAGAAGGACATCGAGGTGCTGGAGCGTGTCCAGAGGAGGGCAACAAAGTTGGTGAAGGGTCTAGAGAACAAGTCTTATGAGGAGTGGCTGAGGGAACTGGGGTTGTTTAGTCTGGAGAAGAGGAGGCTGAGGGGAGACCTTATTGCTCTCTACAATTACCTGAAAGGAGGTTGTAGCGAGGTGGGGGTCGGTCTCTTCTCCCTAGTAACAAGTGATAGGACAAGAGGAAACGGCCTCAAGCTGCGCCAGGGGAGGTTTAGGTTGGATATTAGGAAAAACTTCTTCACCGAAAGGGCAGTCAGGCATTGGAACAGGCTTCCCAGGGAAGTGGTTGAGCCTCCATCCCTGGAGGTATTTAAAAGAAGGGTAGATGTGGTGCTTAGGGACATGGTTTAGTGGTGGACTTGGCAGTGATAGGTTGACGGTTGGACTCGATGATCTTAAAGGTCTTTTCCAACCTTTATGATTCTATGAATTTAAAAGGTGACAATCTAATTACAGTGCTTTAGATGAATTCTGAGCTAACAGAGAGGACTCATGTCCTGTAACGGGAGGACTAGATCTGTATTGCTTCTGCAGAGCCCTCTGCCTGCCTTGCTTCCAGTTCCTCAGGCCTCCCCTGCACTGGGAGAGGAGCTGGCGTTCTTCTCCCCACGGTCACTTATTTATCCATGTAAGTGGATACGTGGTTGGGTGCCTTATGGATGTGGGACCATGACTGGGTGCATGCAACCAAGCACCTGGCTCAACAGAGGCAATATTTGGAAAAAAACTCGTTTTGTTGTAAGTGGCCATCCTGATTTGAGAAGTACAGCTGAGGAAATGTCAGTGTCTGAGCTAACAAAGCTGAGGCAAAGGTGAGGCCCGAAAGTGACGGGCGGTATTCAGACTGAGATCCCTTGTATTTTCCTACATAGGCCAGATGACGGTAGCAGCTTTTTCTCCTAGGGAAAAATATTGTTTGCTTTGAACTATTTGACCTTCGCCATGCATTGTAAACACTTTGCACTCAGAAGTGGTGTTAACAGTGGCCTTGTGCCATTAGGGGAAATCTGACCAACTCTGCATTGCTTAGTAAATTCCTGTTTTCTTCCGTTAGGTTTGCACTGCTCTGTGGTGTGCTATAAATGTGCACCTGCTTGAAGTGAATCGTACAATTATATCTTTATGCTTTAAACATCACTGTCGCTGCATAATGAAGGCCAAAGACATGCATCTGAGTGTTGAGCTGCTATCTCAAATCATTACAACCAGCCACTGTTTCCTAGTCTTGAGGCATCTCACTGAGTTTGTTTTTCTGTCAGATTGCTCAAGCGAGTCTAAGTAGGTGGTATGAGAGAGGGGGGGACATCTGTACTGTGAAGTCGATAGTGCTACCTTTCATTTTTTTGCTTTTGTACCAGTTTTTTAAATGAAAGCCAGTGTGTCGCTTGGTTTATGTTCTGTTTGTTCAAGTGTCTATTGCAGTGATCCTCAGTATTTAAAAAAAATAAATATGTAGCCTTTAAAATGTGATAAATACTTTGAAAAAACTCACGTTGCGTGATGCACAATTTTAATACAGGCAGTTTATAATTCACTTGTTTCTTTTTGTTTCATTGCAGCAGATGCAATTAATAATGCAGCAGGGTTTGGTTTTAGAGGCTATGATAAAAATGGAGTTACACGTTGGGATCTAATATCAAATCTGAGAATCCAGCAAATAGAGGTTTGTTCATGGCTCTTTCAAATAAAATATATGCTCGTGTAGGTATTTGCTTGTAATTTCAATAACTTTTCCTACGCATTTTGTTCCTCAAGACAGTGAATATGTTCTAAGTCAGAAATGATGTGTTCACACCCTTAGGAAAGGATGGAAAATAGAGTGTGTTTTGAATATATTCTACTTGTCAGTTGACTTCCAAAATACTTTGTGGTTATAAGTAGTTGAGTAAATACCTTATTCAACTCATCACAAAGTAGGGGGTTTTCTTCATAATTTATATGTCAGAATTCTGAAATATTTTGTAACATTTTACAATTATGGAAATAATTAGTTTGTTTTTACTTTACAGTTTTCCACAAGTTTCAAGATGTTTCTTGATAACTGGAATATCCAAACAGCTCTTTGGCTTAAAAGGTATTTATTTCTTAAAGGAAAGCTTTTCTCCACTGAAATTTCTTAGATAAATATGTCCTTGATGACAATTTAACATTTAAAGCTATACCCCACAAAACACTACGGTTGTTTAGCAACTGCACGGGACATTCTTCTCGTAATACTTGAATTAAAGCCTCTGAATTTAGCACGTCTCTCTTAGTGTAAATTATCGGGTAATGGTAGAAACTGTTTTTCTTCACTGGTTATAGGGAACCTAAAAGTATTCATCTGTGGAGGTGTCTCTTTTTTCCCCTCTTGGCATTCAAAGCACTGCATGTTGCTGAGAGCAGTAGGCAGAATGCGCGTCTGTGGCTGCTAGCCTGTGGAAACGCTGCCTTTTTTTTTTTTTTTAGCCACACAGTGATACAGGAACTTCCATACGTTCTGTGAGAGAACTTTCTGCGCTCCTTCTGTAATGAGTACTTGCAAATATCAGACCCTACAATGTGCTAGGAAAAAAAAATTCCACACGAGTATCCCTTGATGCGCTTTTTTTCTTGTCTGGGAAACGGCTATAGTGCCCAGTGAACTAAATCACTCTCATTTTACTAACTACTTTGTCGTAACTAGAAAGCAAAAGAGTGTTCTTGAGTAATAAAGGGATGTCGTTTCCCTTCTCCCAGTCTCTGTACAGATGATCTTTTATGAATAGGTGTGAGTTTAACTGAGACCCCCATCTTGGGATCACTCAGAGGACTTACTCTCTTATTCTAGGCTTCTCTTATCCCTTATTCTAGGATGGCTGGCAACAGGATGATGCTTCCATCAAGTTTCTTCATAGTGTGTTCAATTTCTTCCCTAAATATTTTTCTAACCCAATTGAAAACAGAAATTGAAATTTGTGTGATTATTCTAGTTGGTTCAATAGGCAATAGAATCTATTGCTAGGATAGTCAGTAAGGAAGAATTGCGTGCTTGCAGGTATTGAAATGTATCATTTAATAAAGCAAATAAGCTATTTTAAAATGCGTTTTAATTTAGTTAGAGAACAGAAGTTTATCAGTATTAAAACTCAATAGGAGAAGGTTGTGTTCCGACAAACTTTCAAAGCTCCTAAATTGAACGATGTTAAACTAAAACTACTTTTAGTGGAGATGAGTAGCATTTCTGTTAGGAATTGAAAGAAAAAAGAAATGCAAATCAGTTGTTCAGGGTGACATTAAAAGAAGATGTGAAGAAAAATTAAAGCATCTCCTTTAATAAATATTTTTAAGAACAATTAAATTAAACTTAAGAACAATTAATTGCTCTTAAGTGTTTAAGAGCAATTGTAGAAGAATCTGAGGGTAGTCTAAATACATGGATTCTGCCACAGTGAAAAGGAGAAGGGTGAATGTGTTCTTACAGAATTGTTGCAAGTAAGAGATTGTTTTAACGATTATATATGAGGCATAAATATTGGCCCAGAGTATATATTATATTACCAATAATTTGTTAAGTTGCGATGTTTGAATAGAGGGCAAGCTCATGTATTACTTTAAACATCCACTTTTCATACCTCACCTGTTTACCCTTTAAGGAAGTATCTAAACTCTTAGGCATTTGTCTCACATGGAATACAGAAATATCAGAGGTCAGCATTCGTTCTGTTCTTTTCTGATACTCTTGAAAGAGGAACAGAACTTAAACCCTGATTGTGTGTAAAAACAAACCCTTTACAAAGAGTTAACTGTCTACAGATCATCATAAAGAAGTTTAATAAACATTTAATGTAGATCACAAAATACAGCAGTTCAAAGGTATTATTGTTACAAGCATGCAAGTTAAAATAGATGTTTACATAGTAGCATATATCAACAAAATATATATCATGATAACAAAATATATATCATGATAATGTTTCCTGACTGGGGAAGCTGTTATATTCCCCCTCAGCCTATTCACTTTTTTTTTTCAAAAAAACCATCTAATTCCTTTTGTCTTTGGTCATGTTTGCAAAACCTCTGTGGTTCTTGTTGCTCTCTTCTGGCTTCTTTCCAAACTTCCCGTTGTCTTACTGTGGATGCAGTAGTTCTGCTAAGACCTCTGAGGTCTTTCCCTGGCTTGTTACAGGCAGAGTTGAATGCTTTGAGTGGATTAATTACTTTTCTTTTCTTTATATAACTCTTGCTAATACATCACAGTATTACATCTGTCTTTTTTTGCAGCAGCAGTCTAGCGTTGATTCATGCTCAGCTGATCCTCAGTGTTTCATACTGTTGATTCATATTCGTGCTCAACTACACTTCTTCAGTAACGTTAAATGGACGGGTATTGTTTTGTATCTTCCACTTTTCTTAGATGTTCTAGACTTTGCGCTTCATCTTGTTGATTTCAGAGCATCATTCAAGTCTGTCAAGATCATTTTGGATTTTATTACTTTATCTGTTAAGAAAACAACGCCAATCTCTCTCATTCCCCGTCTCCCCCCCCAAAAAAAAAAAAAAAAAGGAAGGGAAGGCAACGTAGAAAAATATACTTCTCAGTCTGTCACCCCAGCCGGTGATGGAAGCACAGAACCAGACGAAGGGGAGTATCTTGCTGAACAGTTCACGCATCTTCCCACCTCTAGAGAAAATCGTAGATAACTCGAGCCACCCGTATTTGAATAGATTTTTCTCAGCCTGTTGTGATGACCGTATTTCCTTGGTTTGCTCTTAGGAGAGTCAAGTGAAGCATTTCAACATGATTTATTATTGACAAATCTATGGAGAGTTTTTTTTAAGCTTACTTTTACCTCTGAAATTGAAGCCTGATGACTTTTTTTTTTCTAGTATATATCTTACCAAGAATGCTCTCTTGGAAGCACAAAACCAGTTTATCCCCTATAAAAGAAAAGGAAGTAAGCGGAGCAAGAGGCCCCCTTGGTTCAACCACAAGCTCCTGGGTCTGCTTAAAACCAAGGGATGCGTACTAGAGATGGAGAAGTGGGAGATTGTCCACTGAGAACTACAAGGGCATTGCCAGAGTGTGCAGAGATGCAGTTAGAAAGGCAAAAGCTCAACTTGAATTGGAACTGGCCACAGATGTCAAAAATAACAAGAAAGGGTTCTTCAGGTGTGTAAGTTGCAAGCGGAAACAGAAGGAAAACATAGGCCCACTGTTGAACAGTAGAGGTGAATCAGTCACCAACAATGCTGAAAAGGCAGAGGTTCTCAACACCTTCTTCACCTCTGTGTTTACCAACACTGTTGGATCCCAGGCGTTGGGAATGAAAATCCAGGAGGATCCAAACATAGACCCACCATCAGTGAAGAAGGAGTTAGTATGTGAATTATTACAGGAGCTTG